GTCCAGATAAGTTTTTCTAGAATTTGTTTCAAGACGTTTTTTATTTAGACAACATTATTCTGTGTGTGTGTGTGAAAACTTTTCGATTTGTTCTTTTAGTTTAGTATATACCGATATTGTATGTTATACTTTATAATTTTATATTGTTATAATGCACCAGCGGCGGCCGTTAATCCATGTGAATACAGAATTAAGTGGAGAAGTAGTCTGTTCACTGTAAAAAAAAAATGTGTTGTTAACAATGCGGTTATTCGCAAAGTGAGATTCAACTCCTCCAACTTAATTCAATCACGACAAAACTACGGAGACCGTCGACGAAGGCCGCCGCCTTTCATTTCTTTTCACCAATAAATAAATTGTGGTTATATCGCATGTATAATTTTAGAACGATATATATATATATAATATATATATATTAAGTTTAGATTTTTTTGTACGTCTAGTAAAAAAATAAAAAAAAAAAACCCCCATACCTACTGTAACGTTTATCGTTTTTCGTTTGATAATAATAATTTTTTTTATTTTGCTGTATTTCTTGTTTACGCTTTTTATTTGAAAAACCGAAATATTGTACTTTGAAAACGAATTGTAAATGTCAATTTGTGGGTAGAATATATTATTGTTATTAATGGTGCAAGTTTATATACTATCGAAGGAGTAAAGAAACGATAAAAAAGTGGTGAGTCAAATAATTTTTTGTTTTTTTTTTTTGAAAACCTAAATTCAAGATGAAAACAATCGTTTTAGAATATCGTTTGTTTTTCGTCAAATTTCACACTTTTTCGGATGTGTTATCTTTGTGTCTGTGAAGCTTTGCTTTGGTCTTGTAAATATCCACTTTATATATATATATTAAAGAAAACTTTTTTTTTATTAAACTAAGATAAAAAAAAAAAAATGTTCTAGAAACAATTAATGTTTTAGTTTACATTAAATATGCCTGATTTTTTTTTTATACGGGACTTTTATGTTATACAATGAAAACTTTAAATAGTTTGGTCGATCTGAAGAAATGTTATTGATGACGACCGTTGACCAAAGCACTTGAACGAAATTTACAGTAAAATATTTTGAAAAAAAAAAATACATTTTCAGTTAAGTACACTCATCAATCGTGAACTAGTAAATTTGCAGGACATGTAAAATGTCTAAAAGATAAAAATGTACGTTTAAAAACAAAATTTGTCCTTCTTGAACTATCTATGAGCAAATTCTTAGTTGTCCTTTTAGTGAAAAGTATGTCGTTTTAAAAACTACAACTATTTTACGTCGGACCACCTCAAAGGCAATTTATTTTACACTAGACGTAATCGACTAGTTTTCCTTAACAAGTTGTTGACCAAATAGTAATTAAAAATGACCGATTGTAAATATTGTTGTAAAGTTATGCTTTTAATCAAATAAAAATATCTATGCCACATACTTTTGAACAAAAAAACTATATTACGTTATTTACTGGTAATTTGTCTACGGCTTATCATTATGCCATTGTGTATCTGGCAAGTGTTTGGCAAGAAATCGACCACTTTATATTGACATATTGAGTATGATGATATGAATGAGACTATGTGTGATAATGATGAACGTATGGATCACAAATTTAAAAAAATCATAATATAAAGTGTAATCTTTGGTTAGGTTAGGTTTTCAATAATTTATTAACAAAATGAACTGTTTTTTACTTGGTTGAGACAGCCATGTGTTTTACTGATTCGCTATAGAAAAAACAAATACAATTCTCATTATTGTAACGATCGTTTTTATTGGTTTGTTTTACAACCGTTGATGTATTTATTTATTTAATCTTTATACATTCACAACATAATGAGGTATTATCGACGTTGTTTTTTAACAATTTTTTTTTTTTTTAATAATACCTTTTTTTTTATTAGGTACTTAGCAGGTGTAGATAATAATATTATAACAGTGTTCGGCTTATACGGTACTCGAAATGGGTTGTATTTACACCGGAGCCTTATAATCTCAAACGGTTAATCCCTCGTGATGTTTTTATCGCAAACCGTTGAAACACTCGAGGATTTATGTGGCAAAAACAAAAAAAAAAAAAATATGATAACTATTGTACAGTATATTGCGCAAGCATATTGTCATAAATACACTTTTATTATTGTTACCTCGTTCTTTAATAACGTGTGCAACTAAAGTAGTGTAGAGATCAATAGTTTTTTTTAACTCGTGTCCAATTACTTATTAACTTTACAAGTACTACATATTGGTTATTGCATTAAGATATAAATATTTATATATATATACATGTATATGAGTTTTACATTTTTAGCGCTGTAAAATATTTATTAAATACAAAAATACAAATTCCGCGACGAGTTTTGAAGTCGGTTGATGAAAATCTTTTAAAAGTCACATTTATATACATTTGAAAGTAAACAAAACGTTAAAAATAATTACAAAACCCTATTTACACATCTTTAGAAGGGATTTATATCAAAACTAGACGCACTAGGAAAACGTCTACAAAATGGAAGTATTTCGGTTGTTGCTCAATATTTTTCCTCAACAGTGTTTCTTATGTATGTGATGTATTACTATGACCCAGTCAAAGTCTTACAACATATTTGACTTTTTTAAATTATTTTTTTCCTTATTTACTTAGCCTAAATTTGATATAATAATTTTCAACAATACAGAGTGATCCAACTAACGTTAGACACTAATTTTCTGTGAAAATATGAATATTTTGAGAATTTGTTTTCCCTTAACTTTTAGGTACATATTTTACTACATTATTCAATATTTTGAACTTTTTTAAAACCAATCCTTATAAGTCAAAGGTATGAAAATAAATTAATCAAACGCTAATATATTTTTTAATTTTCGGTCTACAAATTTATGTAATTAAAAACATATGTTGCCATTTAAAAAAAACCAAAAATCCCCCTTTTTGGCTTATAAGGATTGGTGATAAAAATTTTCAAAATATTAAAAAATGTGCTAAAATATGCATCTAAAAGTTTAGGAAAAAAAAATTCTCATAATATTCATATTTTCAGAGAAAATGAGTGTCTTACGTTAGTTTGATCACCCTGTATAACACCACCTCTAAAACACTATGAGCTTAAGATTTTTAAATAGTAATATGTAATATTAATATTCGGTATATATTACCAATTAAGAGTATTTTACTAAACATTTTGACTGGTCGAAATTTTCAATAATAATAATGTACACATCGCCATTTAAATAGCCAGAGTTCATGCGGTTTCACCACATGAAGGATGGGTTTATATTTTTAAAAATTTGTCAAAACTGGATGAATTATTGACTATAAAAATACAAAAAGAATAATTAAAAATAAATCATATTAATAGTTTTTAGGACTTATTCGATTTTTTATATAACTTAAGTATTTAAACAATTATTGTTATCTTGTTGATGTATTATGGTTTTGTTTATAGCACACTTAGTGCTTATTGATCTAATCTATCCACACTCGACCAACTATATCTAGTCTCCACGTCTTTCTGTATTTGTATAACCATAGGATTAGCCTACTCCTTTTCGGTCGTTTGTTCCTATTTAAGCTAACTTACATTTTTCTAGGTCAACACTCCAATTCCATATATCTTAGCCTCCTTAGTCCTTCATAAACATTTGTTTAAACCTAATTATAAATGAGTTACGCCTGGGTTAAACCTAATTTAAATACAAACTGATTATTTTAAACAGTTTTTTTCCGAATACTTGTTTTATAATATAGAAAAATTAATTAGAGATTAAAATGAAACGTATGGTAAAATGGTGTTTGGTTTTAGTTCTATAGTAGCTAATTTATGGGTATTATTTAGGAAAAAGTCCTAACTATTCATTTTTTTTTACAAATTAATCGTTAAAAATTATACTATAAAAAAATTATTTTGGAATTGGGCCCTGAAGGACTCAAAAGTGAGAAAAATTAAACATTTAAGTGTGTGGTAGCCTTGTCGGTAGTTATAAGTAGTAGCCACTATAAGTTGGTCGAATATATCGACCACGTTCATGCAAAACTAATTAAGTGCGACTAATTAGTACAATAATAAACAACAGAAAAGTACTACTATAGTATAAGGTGTATATTTTTTTGAAGAACTGACCCCCAGGCACAGATATAGATACAAAAACGGCCATCTTGGTAGTGGGCTCTGTGTATCGTACATCCGTTTTGTATGTCTGTATGTATTGATAAAATTCCCCGAGACCCCACAGCTAAGATGGCGGAAAATATGCTTCACTAAACTTTCTTGCCGACATACTACAGTTGGCAATCTAGTTTCTTATCTGTATCCGTGCTCCTGATTTTTATGTCTTTGCTTATTGGGGGCATATATGTTGTATTCACAACGTTCAAAATAGAAAAGAATAATAAATTCAATAATTTAAGGGGGCCAAATTCTCTATGAATGGTTTTGGGCCAGATATTATGAAAACACTAAAATATTAGCCAGAAACTTGATATGTTTACTAGCCACCTTAGATACATAAAAATGTATCCCGTGATGTTGCGGACTCGTACGCAAGCTGTAAAAATATAATATGTAATACCTATGTGAAACCCTTTAATAGAGCCTTGCAAACCATTCGAAATTCCTCTAAATTAAAATTTTACTTTGGAACACAACCGGAAAAAATCGACACCGACACCGGTTATCATAACGAAAAAATCAGCTGATTTATCTGATAAGATAAGAGATAAGAGATTCAGAGGTTGGGGTTAGGGTGGTTATAAGGATGAGGGTAGGAATGGGGATGAGGATGAGGTCAAGACTCGAGGATGAGGTCGAGGTTGAGGATGAGGATGGGTAAGGGATGTTAAATTTTTTTAACTATGTGTTGTTTTCACAACGAACAAACTTAAATGAACGGTTAATGAATTACTAGCCAAGTGAATGTTTTGCCAATAAATTGATTAAGGCCAATTTCTCCTATGAAAAGAACATGTTTGTGAGTTAATGGCGTTTAATTTTCGTTTGCCTGCTTTCTATTAGATGTGGCTGGTCGACGCCGATTGTATCAGTTCGCTGTTTACATTCCAACACATGCAACACATGTGCATTGATTCCGGAGTGTCCGTTTCGAGTTCCGGTTACGATTCGCACCAGAGACGACGGGACAAGAAGAACAAAATAAGTATCGACGGCGGTCGCATTTACAAGTTGCCGTTCGACTTCAGCCTGGTGAACCTGTTGCCCAAATGCCGGCGCCATTCATCCATAACGTTCAACCTGTTCTCCACGTACTCCGCCATTGGTAATCGTCAAATCAAACCACTGTTGTCAACTTACTCGTTCGCCCACCCACCCCTATAATAGCAGCCAGCCGTGTTTTGAAAAACGATTGAGTAATTATTGCAACAGAAGAGAACCTTTATATTTTTTACATGGGCTCTGTCTGATGGGTAGAGGTAAAATTTGAGAAATCGACAGTAGGTGTAGGGAAATTCACATTTTTCGTTCATTCCGGCCAAACGCGTGGAAAATGGCGGGTGTACGACGTTTAATAAATGAACAGTGTAGCCATGAATCACGGGAAATAAGGAAATATCTGAGTTGTGTCATCACTGCCTTTTTCTCAATATGTCTGATCGTTTTTGACATGGATACGTCTTATGGCTGAGGGTTCGTTCTGAAAATTTATCCGTCACGTTTTGTGTCACAGTGCTGACGTCGTTATGGATTATGCAGGAGTATGGAGGAGTTATTGAGGTTAATATATTAGAGCAAGTGGATTAGAGACAAGATATTAGAGATACTACAGGGTGTCCCAAAAATAATGGTGGAGTTTCAAACGGCTGAAGTTTGTGAAATATTGGACCTACAGCTCTCTGGTAGGGCTTGAACGAAAGAGCGAGTTGTCAAGTTTCGAATGATAAAAATTAAAAACAAATATTATGTTCTTATGATCCATATCATCTTTTTTGCTATTAGTTTACGGCTTCAAACATGGGTATTTTGCTGTAAACTACCTACTTTAATGACCCACAACACCAATGTGACTGAACGAAAATTTTCCAAAATTATGCGATACTTATAAGTGAATAGAACATCTGGTAAAAGTTTGGTGATGGAGAAAATATTCTAACATCAGTGGTGTAAAGGTTCAAAATGTAAATGTAAACTGTGTATATTTCCAATAAGTGTAAATCGTAAAATTTGAACGCTTACCACTGATGTTAGAATAATTTCTCCATCGCCAACTTTTACCAGATGTTCTACTTACTTATATGTAAGTATTGCATAATTTTGGAAAATTTTCGTCGAGTCACATTTGTAATTTTTAATTGTATTTTAATCATCTAACTTATTTTAATCAGGATCGTCTAAATGGCTTAGTTCTTCTAATCTATTATCGAGATGAATTTGCCAAAAAGCCAAGAAATATAGATATTTTGTTATAACTTGTAAGTGTTAAAAAGTGAAATAAACTTAGTGTTTTTTTTTTTTGCAATACCTGAAAAAGTATTGGATGAATTAGCAAGTAAGCCAAGGAAAATACAAATTTTGTTATAAGTGAAATTAGTTTAATGAGTTTTTTTTTCCAACCATGACCCCCCCCCCCCCATAAAAAATTCCCGTCTACGCCACTGTTTGAAGCCGTAAATTAATAGCAAAAAAAAAACTCAATTGGTTCGAAGACGATATGGGTCGTAAGAACGTAGCTTGGATTTTATATAAACAAAATGTTTGCAGACGGCAACAAACTGAACGCGATGCTGGAACGGGCGTTTTACGCGGAGCTGCGCACCATCAACGACAGGTCGTTCGACGTGAGCGGCGCGGACGGGTTGCAAGGCGCCGCCGCCAAGCCGGCGGACGCGGCGAAGAAGGACCGGCACGACGAGAACGGGCAGTGCTACGTGAAACGGTTGAACAACACCAGGCTGATATTGACGGTGACGCCTTCGTGCGGCAAAAGCCCGGAGAAAAGATTCGAATTCCCCGAGAACACGGACTGGCAACCGGCCTGCCGTCTGCGGGCCAACACGTGGCACTACTGCAACCGGGCCGGCGGCATCCAGTCGTGTCCGCCGCGGCCGCCGGACAGGTACCCGTCGAGGGAGGCGTTCCCGTCGTCGTCGTCGTCCGTGCAGTACTACCGGGCCATGTCGGTCGGCTCGAAGCCGGCCAGCCACAGCAACGACATGTCGTGGGCGCGGTTCCGGCTGGAGCGCAACTTCTGCCCGTCCACCATCATGGACAGCCAGTGTTTCGACGCCGGCGGCGGCGACGAGCCCGCCGACGACGAGCCGCCGCCGGACTTCGCCCCTACCATGGCCGTGGTGGTGTACGATTGCCGCAGGCTGGCCGTCGAGCGCGCCCTCGTCTCGAAGAACGTGTCGCCGCCCGGCGACGACCCGGTCGCGATGCCCGACAACAACGGCAGCTCGGACGAGAGTCGCTGCAGCAGCTCGACGCCGACCAGCGACGAGGACGAGGACGGGGACACCGCCGCCACCACCGCCAACTACGCGGCGGCGGCGGCCGCCGATCCGATGGTCACTTCGCAAAAAGGTATCCGACTTCTTCTGCCGGTTTCCCCTTATCTCGATCACACGCAGATCCGGTATGACCAAAAGTCCTTCCTTACCTGAAGTAGCCTCAAGAGGGCGTCGCGCCGCCCATTTTTAAGGAGTAAAGCAGGCCCTATTATTTGTAAAATTTCGGACTGCACACTTAATTTTGTTCTCGCTACTGTCTTAGAAAAAGGAATGTATTACATATATATGTATACAATAATTTAACAACGCAATTAAATAAAACAACAAAATACTTATCTTTCAATCAAAATCAACGAAATTAAAAATACCGTGTTATAATAAAAACTTGAACTTAACTTTCTAATAATTTACTCGCTACTGTCTTAGAAAAACGAATGTATTACAACATTCCATATAAATATGTACATTATTTAATTTTTGTTTTGTAGACCGTAGTGCCGACACGGGTGCACAAAATAGAGCCTGGAGTAAAGTATAGGCATTTTTTTTACAAAATCTTAACTTAAAGGTTAAACTGTGATGTGTAATTATTAGTCCGATAACTAGGACTCTATTTTGGTAGTCAATTTATTTTTTGGACTGTCACAGCGTCCTTGAAAGCGATTTAAAAATGTTTTTTCATCTCAACTTGTTTAAGCAGACTGAAAATAACTCGCTTAATTTTGGATTTAGAGTAAAAGCACCCATTGTAAAAAAATAAAACAAAACAATATTTCGTAGGGCAAGACGGTGCGTTTATTTCATTATTCTAAGTATAACGCTCAATACATAGTTTAGTAATAACGACTATTTTAACATTTTTAAATGAACAATTTTTTTTTAAAAAACGCACCGTCTTGCCCTCCGGAATATTGTTTTCTTTTAGTTTTATAACGGGTGCTTTTACTCTAAAACCAAAATCAAGCAAGTTATTTTCAGTCTGCTTAAACATGTTTTTACCACTGAACATCACCGGTGCGACGATTTCAAGATCCGATTCTGGTCCAATCCTGGCTGAAATTTCCACTCGTGGTGTACGAAGTTAGCCTGCCCAAGTAGTCAAATCAAATACTCACTTGGGGTCCACAAACGTAAAACAATTAACTCCCGTCTTCATCTCCTCAAATCTAAACTATTTCCCATGAACTCGTGTTAAGTTAATCTGTAACCTTTCAGTCTGGTCTTACAGCAGCCAACTGTAGCGCAACTATACCGTCCAGAACTTCAGGCGTGTTCCAGCCAACCTGCTTGCGAACCAATCGGCTAAATTTCATAATTCAAATTTCCATTCTAATCTAATCTCTTATGCTAATGCTCTGATAAATTAACAACTCTATGCCTCACTTACTGATAATGCACGGTGCACCCAGTCCATCCAAAACAAAATGGACTAAATACCTATTGCAATAATAAAACAAGACTTTTTTTTCCAATTTTGTGTTTTTTTTTTAATTTTTCGTACGTTTTTTCAACAGATATTGAACAAAACTATTAAATATCACTCGTAAGAATCCATTCAAAGTATGCAATTTTTCTATAAAAAGTTACTTACCATAAAAGTTCCATTGCCATTGCAATCAGTAATAATTAAACACATCATTTCAACGCAAGTTGTAACCTGTAATTAATCGAATACTGTTTTACGTAATTTGTAGTTTTTTATTAACAGATTATTATGAGATTATAAAAATATAGATGTACGTATTGCAAAACAAAATCAATATGATATAACGTGTTAATTTTCTAATAACATGAATAGTTTGTATTTTTTATCAATGGTTATAAATCTTAATAAATATCCGTATTCCATCAGATTAATCACGTTGTAGTTATAAAATATTAATAATTTTAAAATGGCCAAGTGTATTTCATTAAATGACTGTCCTCGAAGAAAAAACAAATAAATTCTTATACTTAACTTAAAATCAATTTTTTTTTTAAATTTCTTAAATAAATAAAAACTCACTTTTTTCCCCCTAATCACACAAACACGAATTTGTCTTTAAATAATTACTCTTTGTTGTCTTTTGTATAAAAGTTGTTATTTATACGTTTACTATTTTGACAGACGAAACGATACTGGACAGATATTTGGTGAAAATACAACAAGCGTACGACCGGTGTTTGGTGACCACGGTCTTCCGGGCTTTACATTTGGGATTGGACGTACGGTATTTGGACGTCCAGTGTGCCGTCGACCGGTGTCAACATCAAATGATGACTTTCGACATAACCGATTACATTAAAGTAACGATTGAAATATATTATATCCACTCTTTGCCAACACGGTCAATAAACAACAATTGTCGTTAATTTGTTGTTTTAGGTCGTTTGCGGTCATTTCAAAAACAACACCAGTTTCAACAGTTGTCCCGAAGAGAACAAAACGTTGAAATTGCACCACGACATGATTCGGTCAAAATTTGCCGCCACTCTGCGACGACACATGCTCCAGTCCGTATCCAGTCATCCGGACTACTATTTTTATTGTTGCACTGCGAAAAATGCAAGTTTAGATGTATTTATTTAACACATAAACACAACAACGTTGTATTACAATATTGTTAATGTGTTGGTTGCTGTATTTTATCTCCTATAAATAGAAATTCGACCAAGAAGAGAATTACAATAACGACAATCAATCGTCGAGCGAAAGCATCGTTAACCAGGGACCGGACAACACGGGGACGAATGAGATGAGCAAACAGTGTTTGCACACAGAAGTATCGGAAGACCCAACTCCATTGTTCGTGCACCTAGTGTGTTCGGTAAAAACCGATACGATGACAAAAAGCCGTTCGGTACGGTCCTTGCCGACGTGCATACGTGAGTAATGCTTTCAACGAATGCGTAGAATTAAGCGTGTCCTATTAAACTGATTAAACTAATTACCACTGTTTGATTACAGTCGAGCTAATGGACAAAGACAATGACGACGAACCTTTTGACCTGGCTGATATCGACTTCAAGAACGTAAGGGTGTCGTTGGATGTGTATTGTCTGATTTTAGCGAATCCGGACGAAGATGACGATGAAGACGACGACGATAGCGGCAGCAAAGACAAGATGAGTAATACAGACCCAACTCAGCTGGCCAACCACGGCACATCGTATGCGCCACTTCAGTTAGTCGAGTTTTATTTATCGTTTCGAATTTTAAGCATTTTCTTTTCTCCGGTACAACTCTTGCCGTTTGTAAAAGTGCAGATTTCTAAGGTTATGTTTCCTGTTTAACTTAAAAATAAAAAAAAATAAGAGATTTTAAGTTAAAGCTAGTAATCATTTAAAACATGATAAATGAGCAAATGAGTAAATAAGTAAAAAAGTCCAGTAAACTGAGTTAACGAAAATATTATTATGTTAAAAAAAAATAAAATATTGTTATACAGGGTGTTCCAGCATGAAAGGTAAGTAAGAGGTGATTAAACATCTGGGGGACCCCCAAATAAGCCCCCGTTTTCATTTTTTCGATAAGTCAGAAATTGAAGATTTCAACAGTTAAGTAAAAAAAATAATGACTTAAAAAAAAAAAAAATTATTCACTGTTATTCAGTGCAAAAAGCTCACCTTAAAAGAGGGGTCACACCATTTTCAGCCCCTTTCGGCCCCTAACTCAAAAAATGATAAGAGAAAAATGATTAGAGACCAGAAATAAATAATAAGTGATAAAAGATAAATGCTAAGACATAATTGATAAGAGATAAAAGAAAAGAGATAATTGGGTAAGAGATGAATTATGAGAGATAAGAGATAAATTATAAGAGATAGGTGCTAAATGATAAGAGATTAGAGATAAATAATTAGAAACAAGAGATAAGAAATAAATAATAAGATAAGTGATAAAAGAAGAGTTAGGGGCTAAAAAAGACTGAAAATAATGTGACCCCTCTTTAAAGGTGAGCTTTTTGCACTGAATAACAGGGAATAATTTTTTTTTTTTTAAGTCATTGTTTTTTTACTTAACTGTCGAAATCTTCAATTTTTGGATTATCGAAAAAATGAAAACGGATGGCTTATTTGGGGGTCCCCCAGATGTTCAATCACCTATTACTTACCTTTCATGCTGGAACATCCTGTATATTAGTGTCCAAAAAATAAATCAAACTAATTTTTTACTTTTAAAATTTTAAACTTTAATTTACCATCCAATTAAAAAATTAGTTATATTTCCAAGTAAGTAAATAAGTTTAGTTGTAACTTCTAACTATTAAAGTCGTTCTAAAATGTTAATGAACAAACTTTTTAGTTAAGTACTACACTTATTTAGTTTTCCTGTTAAGTAATGAAATTTCCTGAATATCCTCCTGCTAGTTTTTAGGTTTTACACTATTGCCTATACTGAATATTGTCCGTTGCTGTTTTGGATGTCTCCTGCTTATAAAATCTACCTTTTGAAATAGACGTTTTTCGTGTAATTTTTTTTCTAAAAATTTGTATTGCAGAAAATCCAACGAAAGTCACAACAAACCTTTGTTGTCGTCGTTGCCCGTGCGGTATGCTCGAGGCTTGGCTGCCTTTATAGCGGAGGTATGTATAGGCTTTTTTTTTTGTTTAGTGAACATTTACCGAGCTTCGCTTGGGGGGTTTATTGTCATATTCTCTAGGTGGAATGGTGTATGCGTGATGAAATGGCCGCCGGTCTCCTGGAAGATTCTACCGTGACGCCGGAAACGTTAGATAAAGTCATCCAGCACGTTTCCAATTCGTCCAGTTCGTCTTCGAACGGTCATCAAGAGATACCGGTGTATTTTGTAGAACCTCCATTGGGCTCTTCGAACTACAACAGCATTTCCCTATTCGTCCAAGTACGTCGCACTTAATGTAACATGTTAATTTAGAAAATTTAAAAGCTGCACATCGAACTCTACATGTTTACTACACATCCGAGGTCAAATTTTTGAACTCGGTGGCCTCAAAAACTTATAAATCGATAGATAATTGTACAGAATTACAAAAAATCCCCCCTATGCCCCCTCTAAATTAGGGGCGCATAGTATACTTGAGGTCAAATTTGAGCTCGGCAGCCCCGAAAACATATAAATCGACTGCCTTCTTACTATTTTAAATTAAAAAACAGCTTATATCGCGTTTTATTGTCTTTTTTCGATTTTATACTACTTAATTAGTTTTTAAATTAATACATCTTCGTGTTCGGCGAGTTTCGGCAGCTGAAACTTGTTTAATATTGTAACAACATAATTTAACATATTTTAGTATAGTTTTCATAAGTTCCTCTGGCTTATAGGCCTTAAAAAAAAAAAATACTATAGTTAGGTTTTGGTATAAGTAGTATTGCTTATTATTAAAAAAAAAACAAAATATTTGAAAAAATATAAGTTTGAACATTTGTAAACATGTTTTTATACTGAAATACCGTTAAAAAAAATTTCGGAGTAGTTTAATTAATATCCAAGTTAGCATGTTTTATAACAGATAAATAGATATACTGAAACACTAAATAATAATTAAAGTGATAAAATAAAAAAAATACATTTAATGGCGTTATGCAGAAAGCGATCATCCCACAAAACGTACATATTTATTTAAAGAATGGTTTGCAAAGCTCTATTAAAGGTTTCCACATAGGTAATCTCTTATCGCTTTCCCTTATCTCTTATCTCTCTTATCTTATCAGATAAATCGGCTGTTTTTTTCGTTATGATAACCGGTGTCGGTTTTTTCGTTATGATAGCGGGGTCGATTTTTCCGTTTATGTGCCAAAGCAAAGACATAAAAATGTCAAAATTCATTTTTAAGTAGCACATTTAGTTGTTGTTGTACAGTAAAACTTTTAGTTTCATAGGTCTAACTTGAAAAATTGATTTTCCATCGCGTTTTTTAGACTTCCGACCATTGTGCGATGATGATAGTTTAATGGCAAAGGGTTTCGTTCGATTAATGCGATTTCGTTGTTTTTTTTTTTTTAGCAACTCGACCAAATGGACATCGTGCTCGACCAAGACAACGGCGGTGGGCTGTACGCGCTTGCAAAATCGTCAAACGATACGTTCTACGTGGTTAAAAAGAAATTCACTTCCAACACGTCCACGGACAGCACGATTTCCGACGACGACAGCCACGCAGCGATGGGTAGCGACTCCGAAGATTGTCTGACCAAAGCAGAACAATCCAGGCCGTCGCTGCCGAACTTTTGGATTATATTAAAAATTCAATCCAACCAGTCGGAACAAAATAATTCATTGACGGTCATGTTGTATTTCCATTGCAGGTAATTTAGTCAAACGCGATTAGTGGAAGTACACTACTATTTCTATAAGTATATTATGCATGGCCGGATTTAGACTTTTGGATGCCCGGGGCAATTGTTTTTGACATTTTTATGTCTTTGCTACGGCACACACGCGGAAAATCGACACCGCTTATCATAACGAAAAATAACAGCTGATTTGTCTGATAAGATAAGAGAGATAAGAGATAAGGGAAAGCTTGTTCTATCTTTTCTGGACACTCTCCTCGTCCATCTTAGCATTCTCATATTTTTTCTTGTTTTTTACTGCCCATATAACATTGCTGGCCTCACTACCTCCTGTCACAGAAAACACCTGATGCTTCCCTCCACCTATCCATCCACAATTTTCATTACCTTTCTTGTCCTATAACTTTCTCCAAAATCAAACACGATTGCCTCCGTTTTACTCCAACTGATCCTCAGTACTTTCCCATCAAGTACCTCACCCAATTCCTTCTGACTTTCCCCCACTAACATCATCCGCAAACATCATATGTGTCTCGTGTTCTCGTCCTCGAGAACAAGTAAGGACTCAACACCGTGTCTTTCACTAAAATCATCCGTTTTTCCACACACACTCTATTACTTTCACATACATCCTCGGCACTCCTTTTTGTCTTAATGCCCACCTCCAAATCTCTCTAGCATATAAGTCTATAAATACCATACACCACCTCCCTGAAATTCTCCACAATCTGCCTCGTACAAAATATTGGTTCCATTGTTGATTTTCCTAGCATAAACCTCGATTCTTCGATACTGTAACCTCACTCCTTACTCACTTCTCCCAAACCTTCATACTATGGTAAAAACAAAGACACTCCATGCCACCCACTACGGTCGGTTCGAGGTCGATGAACACGGCCCTGGGCACGTGCTTGCCGGCGCCCGTTTCGCTGAAAAAAGTGTTGAAACTGTCATCGCCGCTGCCGATGGTCTTGTCGGATGGCATCTGCCCGTCGGGCTGTATGCCGTGTTCCAGGCAATACAGTTCCCAGCAAGCGTTGCCTATCTGGACACCGGCCTGGCCGACGTGCACGGAGATACATTCACGCATTGTCACCGACGAGATGCTTCAACGAAAAGAAAGAATGTTAATCGAAAAACTCCAAACGAAAGCGGTGTTCTTAACGAGTGTCGGTTGTCCAAATAATGAACTCGGTTAAACACAGGATTCGATAACGGGCGCTTAGAAACGCAATTGTTTTTAGTCAGGGAATCGATAACAATAATTAATTATTAAGCAACGATGACCGTTTTGCGGCGACTTCTTTGCAAAACCAAACGCAGGTGCGAAATTCTTTCAGGATAAGGGCCATCGATGTTAGCAGGTTTAACAAGGCGTGAAAGAGCAGTTATATGTACTAACAATCGAGCTCTAACGTGTCTTAGGTTTGACGTTTTATATGTTCCTTCTTATACATTTAACTGAATTAACTTTCAATTAAACTTCCATTTAACTTTCAAGAGGTAAAATTACACGATCAGCTGTCTTATTCTGAGTAGCTTTTTGATTTAATCTATTAGGCTTTTAGTCCGCATAAGTCACTTTTTCCAAGTGTTGATTTCTAACAGCACGGTAATACGTTTTCGTTTGTAATACAATTAATGTACAATTTTACAGATTCACCGAACTGGACGTTCGCGGGAGGTATGCCGCAGTGAGAGAAGACGTAAGACAGCACATTTATCGAGCAGCCACGGTTGTCAATCAGACCTTATTGCTGTGTCGTTTGCACGACACTAGAATGTGTGATCCCATATTGGAACCGATCACCGAAAACCACGTTAATTCGGACGACGGTACGGATCAATGGAAATGTACAGGGTGTCTCAAAAACAATGGGGGGGTCTCAAAACGGCCGTAGGTTGTGAAGTATCGGACAGCATTGGAAACTTGACAATTACGTCTTTTATTCAAGCCCTACCAGAGCGATGTACGTCCAATACTTCGCGACCTACAGCCGTTTGAAACCCCACCATTCTTTTTGAGACACCTTGTGCATACTTTTTTTTTGCAAATTCTGTAAGTGTATTTTTTTTATCTTTACTATTGTGCCGTTATACAGACGATACCAGCAACTGTGACGCCGACAAGAAGACCAATCATTTTACCTTCGGACAGTTCCGTTGTCCCGTCGTATGGACCGCAAAGTTTATGTTACACCCAAGGCTTCAGCATTCGTCATCTATGCTTTTGCTCGGCGTCCAAGTGTTGCACTCCGTGTTGGACAAACTGTCCGTGCGCAACCGCCGCAACATGTTTGTTTACCGGGAAGAATCGTCGGGATCTGTGTTTTATCTAAGGTCAGCTACGGGCACAGTTTTTGCACTAGTTTAAGTTGCGGAAAAATAAAAAATAACTTAGTCAATTAAAAATTACTTTTTTAAAACGATAAAAAGACGTCGTTGCACATCTAATTCATTATGTAGTAATAAAGTATTGGTATTGTTTCTCGGGATATTATTAACTTAAACTATACTGTAAACTCAAATAGAAACACTTAATTGGTACTTCATAGCGTTATCAGCAACAGCATTATTCCCAAAACTATTATCTACAATTGCGGTTTTTTTTTGCATTAAATATACAAGTTCTCAACAATTTAATATTCAAATTTTTTCATATTTCACGTGGCTTCTGCTTTTGACCTAATTTCTGTTCGACCTTTGATTTGGTCAATGTACCAATGTTACGGTTAATATAACTACAATATCGTAAAATGTACTAATATGTATTTGTCGTTACCTCGGACAGGCTTTACGAAAACACGTTACAGCAGCACATACAGAATCAAAAGAATCTTTTACTCGACACTGTGCAATCCGACTCGGACGACGAAGACTCTATATCCAGATGCTCGTCGGCCACGTCTACCACGGCCACGATAGCTTCTTCCATTAACCCTCCTTCTTACAACCCCCATTCGTTACGGAAACCGTCCGACGACATCAACGTGAGTGGTGACAATATACATTTGCCCAAGTAGAAGTAGTAGTGTTTATCTTATCTAATATATGATTAAATAGTATATGGACACCAGATCCAACCAGACGCTCGGATCACGTTCGCTGGCAGGCAATTGGGCCGATGCGGACTCCAAAGACGTCGAATACCTTACGTTGAAAGTGCACGGCATATCGCCCGTGGGTAAGTCGAAGAACTTAAGTCTTAGTCTGAATGGCCCGCGGGTATGGCCATTCTAAGCACCCCCCCCCCCCCCCCCAATGTGTAATTTTTGAAAACCGTCTCTTCCGGTGTGATTCGGCCTGTGTGAATGACCTGCTCGTCACGCTGTGTCTGCAAGGGCAAACGTTTAACACTGACAATTCCGTCGTCTGTTGTTTAGGCACCGAAATCCGTGTCGATCTGGTGGAGGTGCTACAGAACCGGTTGAACGACGCCGTGCTGGAAGTGTTGACTACCATGCTGTACCGGAATCCCGTTTGCCGGTTGTATCCGGACGACGTGCGGTTCGTGCAGCCGTTGGACAACCCCGCCGACAACGTCATCAAAGTAACGTCATATCAACGCCAAATTAGGCGGTATGACAATACGGGGTGTGGCAAAAAGAATGGCGGGGTTTCGAACCAAGCTGTAGTGAAGTATCGGATCTACAGCGCTCTGGTAGGGCTCGACAGACATCTAGCCCTACCGGATCGCCGTACGTCCACTACTTCAGCCGTTTGAAACCCCGCCGTTCTTTTCGGGACACCCTGTGCCGTAGTGTAGTAATTCACGACGCGTGTCTGCTGTGGTCTGTTTAGTTTTCGTTGCCGGTCGACATAAGGATAAAGAAATCTCTGGTGCACAACCTGCAACGTAACGCCGTGGCTCTGTTGTTGTACCCGCCCAAGTACGCCAGCCGTCGCCAAAGGTTCGTCGTCAACAACAGCCCGGGCCCGGAAAAGCCGCTGGTCCGTTGTTTTTTCATCTACAACCAACAGAGCAGCGCCGGCATCGGCGGCATACGCACCAGCGGCAACCGGGGCCTGGCGTGCGTCTTGTTCGAGGTCCATCTGAACGACTACAAGAACAAAATCGACACGATGAGCAACTATCCCACGGACCCGAGCCTGTTCGAAAGTCGGGTGCGACCGTCGTTGTTCGTGGGCGACGATCCGCCGAAATCCAACGCGCACGTCAAAGCTTACAGTAGGTATCAAATCATTCATCGTGGTCCAAAGGCCTTAACGCCTTGTCGAATTAGCCGCGTGTGTCTGTCTTTTGCCTTTAGTTGTCGGTAAGATGCGCAGCCCATCTTCACTTTTATGTCAGGCGAAATAATTAGTTCTTGGTCTTCCTTGAAAAATGTTATTAAGAAAATCATTGTGACGGATAAGATGCACATTGAGACTTCTTTCCTCTCCTATTTCTTCTAGAACTCTTTCGTTTGATTTTCGTTCCATCCAATTGGTCTTAATCATCTTTCTGCGTCATTGTCCATGTCTCACATCCATAACATAAGACACTCCATACAAAAGTTTTAATAAACTTTTTACGGGTTTCAAGTCTCTGAGCTGTCTATTACTAAGTATATTATACTTCTCGAGGACAGCTTGTTTGGCGAGAGCTATTCTTCTCTTTATGTCAGCTGTTGATTGGTTTCTATTCGTAATTAAGCTTATCCCAGATAGCAAAACTCATTAACTTGCTGTATAGGATTGTTTATTAGATTGATATGTGCTTCATCATTGTTATTGATCTTACTCGTCAACGTTGTTTTTGTCTTTTGTCCGTCGATCTTCAGTTGGTACTTATCAAATATATCTGCCAAGGTGTAGAGTATTTTATTCATACAATTTTGAGACTAGACTAGCTGTACAATGTCATCTGCAAATCGTATGCTGTGAACGCTTCTTCCATTGATCTTTATTCCTCCTGTCTTATTTTTCAGTTCATTCCTAACTAGGTTAGGTTCATCCTAACCGTATTCCTCATGATCCAGTGTCTTTTCGATGGACAAAGATTGGATTTGGATTATTTAAGAAACTAATTAGATTTTTCAACCACTTGTTACCACCTCCTAATGACGATTACAGCTAAAATACACGTGTGGCGTCGGGGACGAGTCAACATGGAAGCGCTCCAAGCAAAATTGACAGTGATTATCAGCAACACTCTGTGGGACGTGAGCGTGGAGCAGTTCCTCAAAGAACAACCGATAGCGATCGAGTCCGACCAGCAACCTCCCGCGTGCCACTTAAATGCGTTGTACGCACAACACTTGGCCAGATGGATTGCGTTTGGGGCTCGCACTTCGGCACCGTTGGCACGCCATTCCCGAATCCAGCACAGGTGAGCCAACAACGAATGATTTTTATTTAGTAAATTAAGTAAATTGTTATTAAGGAAATAGGCGCGTAACGAAAAGTCAAACGCTCATGAGCGGGGATCATCCAGGGAATATGGATTTCCCCTCATTGCCCCCACCCGATTCTCTCCTATCTTTCCACGCGGTCAAAGTTGCCCAAACGCTTGTCTTCGTTTTGCAGGATATCCGTCGACCACGTGCTCAGAGAGTTCAAAACGCATCTGTCGTGGACCGGAACGTCGACTTCCAACGGTTCCACGTTGTCCGTACGTTACTTCTACGCGGAACGCACGCCCTACGGTCAGGCGAAACCGTTCAGCAGCAATCTGGTCGCCGGCCTCTTGGATCCGTTACAGTTGGACGACACGTGCGCGGACACCGTTTTGTCGGACAACTTGACGTTCCACGAATGGCAACCGTCGGCGGCGGCGGACACCGTAAACGCCACTTGTGTACTAGTACTGGTGTCCGTGGCCACGTTGGCCAACTCCAACGGGGAACAAGAAAACCATCAACACCGTAGCGTTAGACCGATCAAGCGGAGCGATTCGGACACTGACAACGGATTGGTCGTGGTCGAAGACGAAGAGAACGCCGAAGACAACGAAGACGAGGTCACCGACAGCGATAAAGAAGGTAAAAAAAAAAAAACATTGGGTCATTACGGTTATGTCTTACCACCGGTGCCTAATATAATCTAATTTATTTTGTTCCACAGACAACACGAAAACGATAACGAACGTCAATCAGTTGGTCGCGATCAACATCGGAACGCACGAAGAAGCCAAAAAGAACAACGGCACCAGCAACAACAACAACAACGACAACGGCAGAATAATTAACCGACAGAAATTGAGCAGACTCCTGTTGTTGGCCGTGTCGGGACGTGCGTTGCACACGTTAACGTACAACTGGAACAACGGCGGCGACGATAACTCCACCGGTGTCCGTCGACTGTGCGGTTGGTTGGAGTGGAGGCGGGCGGTGTTCTCTTCGGCGGTACTGTACAAGTTGGGATTGATTAATCCCAGAGCGTACAACGCCACGCTGAGCAGTCATAGTGCGGCGGTCAAAAACAACGTGGACCTGTTGTTGGACTATAAAGGCTACGCCGCGGCCATGGGCGACCACCACGAGTACGGCGAACGGATCGGAGCCGATAAAGTCACCAGGACGAGCGGTCGCGTCAAGCACAACGACACCGACACGGAAGACAAGAAAATCAAAAGCAACGTGTACGAAAAGGACGTTCAAGATTTGTACCTCGAACGGTCCGTGCGGGTCTACAAACAACAACGGCGTTTAGGTACGACAAACGCTGCGATAGGAATTTAAGAGATTTTTCTATCCGTACAAGCTTTACCGTTTACCGTCAATTTTTTTCAAAAGACATCGTATACGACACTAATCGCCTATAAATTAATAGAACATTACTTTCAAACACTTAAATGTTAAAACATAAAAGTTTTTATCTTGAAAAGTACAATTATAGTTGGTACACAAGTATACAATCAATAGATTTTTAATAAAAGTTCTCTAATATTTTCTTATACATTTTTACAACCAAAAGTTCAATCGTTTTCCTTTAATTATATTTTTTTCATGGAATCGAGCAAAAAGATGTTTACATTTCCGGTCATTTTGACTGTAAGTGTACTACTTGAACACTTTTTAGAAAAGTTCTACCAATTTAAAGGGGAAAAAATGAACAACGGTTTATTGCATTTTAAAACTATCGATTAAGTACAAATATTTAAAAATCCTTTTAAACTTGCTCACAAAATTTCGGAATAAAAAATTGAACTGGCACAATATGTATTTTTTTCAATCAGTTTCGAAGACCAATGCACAAGTTAAAAAAATAGTCAAACTTATACTTATTTTTGTTTATGCTTTTTTAGATCTCCATCGCAAATGTCTGTACGACATGTGGACGCACTCCGAAGAAAGGGTCATTTCCAAAGAGACTCTCTGGACGTTTTACCGTCACAGCCGACTGCTTCATTACTGTTTGACACCGTTGCTGTTTTTGCCTAGGTATACAAATTGGAATGGTTTTTTTTATTAATTAGTGATAAATGCATAACATAGACACCGGTGATTGCCAGATAACCGATACGATGATAATTAGCTGTCCAATTCGTGATCCACCGAGTTGGAGATTGGTTGAATTTAAATTTAACAAATCAATTTGTTCAATAATCTGTAATGCGTTTTCCACGTTCTGCAATTTAGATGGCGTTTGGAGTCGGCTGCCACCAGAGACCATTCATTGGATGCCTACAAAACAAGAACCACCGAACCTCCTCCCCTGTGGCACCGTAAGTTGTGTGCCAGGTTCAGCCAGGCGTACGCAGAGTACATAGAAACACACCCCGCCGTCACCGGGTTCCAGCTTGTCCAAATTGGCAAACAACAACACACCGCCGGTCATCATCACGCGGTCAACGACAGGTGAGAACTCGGAGTTGCTGGACTTTTTATCAATTTACAATTTTAAAACAAAACAAAAAAAATCCCACAAAAAGAGCAACGCTTTTTCGAACGGGGTTAGAATTGAATGGCAATTGAGTTTTTGGTTTTGACAACTCTGGTTACCTTTGTGGTTATCACGTTTTTCCATCTATTGTACTCTCGAAGAAACGTTTTGAACACATTGCGTGAGACATCAGTTGGTAATTCCATTGCCTTGTATTGGATTCCTAGTGTCTGGATCCACGATATCTCGTAAACCGCTGAACTGATTTCTTCGTGTAGCAACTTTATATAGATCAGAAATCATACCTGGAAGGTACTTTTTTGGGCTAAAAATTTAAAAAAGTCATCCCTTCCCCATGAAAATCGAGAAAAACACCCAAAAAATGTATACATTTTCTACTTAAAATTACAACACTCTATAACTTTTTTAAAAATAGTCGAAAAAGTTGCACATTTTTATGAATTGTTCTTCAAACATAGTACTATCGATAAACATTGACAAACCAAAAAAATATCATGAACCCTTTGCCTTAGAAGGAATAGAATTTTTTTTGTTTATTTCACTTTTTCTAGCAAAGTTTTTGACATTTAGATCTGAAAACTAAATCGAAGGTAGATCTAAAATGTTCCATTTTAACAGTTTCTAAGTTGCTATGTGTGAGTGAATAAACAGTCAACAGGTAATGAAAATATTATCATTATATTGTTAATTACGATATATGGGTGTAACTATGACAGTACATTTTTATAGACAGACGATCAACCCTTATCGTATCCACCCCTGCACAAGACTAAATATTAAATTTTTAAGCACATCATTGCTGGTCCCACGATAGAATGGAACTATAACTGGTTTGCGCATACTATCCACAGATTCGCATCGAAGCGTTTATTTAAAAATGATTTTATCACTTTCGGTTATAATAAAATCTGTAGACCCGCGACCTTTCCGTGCCCACTATGCCCCCACCCCACTGTACTGGCTTCTTTTAAATTTCAAAGATTAAAACAACAACTTTTCAGAAAATCAACGTTTCTTTTTCACACATTTAACCACGCGGAGTCCAAACAATTTTTACTTTATTAATACGGAAACGTTTGTGTATTTTTAGTACCGGAAACGAGACGGATATATCAAAAGCGACCACCTGCTATTTGAAAAAATCTGTGCCCGGAATCAACGGCGGTCTGTTGCTGATCGAAACGGGCGTCAGCCAACCGTTTTACTATGTAAAAATGTGCTGTGTCGAGAGAGCCAGGCTTGCCAACAACAGCGACGAACCCGATGACGACGAAGAAAATCAACAACAGGTAAGAGCAATACTGTCGTCGATAAGTGGAACTTCACGTGCATCATATAATGTACAGGGTGTCTGAAAAAGAATGGCGGGGTTTCAAAACGGCTCAACGTAACCATCGTGACCATATAATGTATAATATTGTATGGTGATAACCGTATTATAATCGCGATTGTCAAAAGTGGCTAGTACACGTGCCACTGATTCATAAAAGTGGTTATAATTTCAAGTTTTATGTTAATTTTAGTGATTTTATGACTTTTTCGGTTTTTACTAAGCAAAACAATTCAAACAAGTACACAGTTTAATTCTTTATAAAATTTTACATTGACGGTGGTAGACTATTGACAAACGATTGTTCTGTTTTACACTAGTTTTGCGTTCAAGAAAAATACAAAATGAACTATTTAAGAAAAAAACTGTATTTTTTAATTGCTGATTATAAAATGTTAAAGTAAATTAAAATTATTAAATTATATACCATTGAAATCGTTATGTTCTGTAGTTTTTAACAGTGTATTATTTATCAATGTAACACTATTTGCGCAAAGAAGATTTATGAGCACAAACGGCTTAAATGTATAGATCCCAAAAATATGGTTGATTCATCCAACGTGTAAGACGCTGATTTTCTCTGAATTTTACGCTTCATTCTATTCAATTCAATTCATTCAATGATTGCGATTGAATTATATTTAATGATACTTGGACACTTCTAAAACTATGTAGGTATAAAATAAGTACATAATCAAAATCTAAGTCAAGGAAAATTCATAGCCCTTTATAGTTTGGTGGCATCTATTTCGACCACCATCTACAAGACTTCATTTTAAAGTACCATTGATGTTCCCTTAAACGAAAATGATACAAATAAGTAGTAGAATGGTAATAGTATTCCAAAGAAACGTTTTTAATGAGCCGTTTGAAACCCCACAGTTATTTTTGAAGCACCCCCCCCCCCAAGTGTAATGTAATTATTATTATTATTTTTTTTTTTCATTTTAGTACACTCTTCTCGATCAGTCCGAACGAATCGTGCACAACATGCATTTGCATTCGTTCACGTATGATTTTCACGTGCGGATATTGACCGACAGACTTGGCAAGTTGATAAAAAACGTCAACAACAACCGTTTCGTCGTCGTCGTCGGTCCCGGCAAACAACAATCGCAGCCTCAACAAACGTCGTCGGCGCTGAACAAGAGCGCTGCTCATCAATCGAACAACGCGTCCAGATCGGCCCACGTGCCCAAGATCAACGCCGTCTCGGGGTTTCTGGACGATTTTCTGAGATACTACAATCAGCCGCCAACGTATTCCCGTTGTCTAGTCCAATCGAGTGAGTTTGCCGTTGCGACGACGGTCCGACTCCAGTATTTAGCACAAATCTTTCTCAGTTCCTACCTTGACTTTTTGCTATTATACCAAATCAAAAAAAAAACACAGTACAGTGGGGTCGGGGCATAGTGGGCACGGGAGAGGTCGCGGGTCTACAGATTTTATTATAACCGAAAGTGATGTCTATAAAAATGTACCGTCATAGTTACACCCGTGTATCGTAATTAACGATACAATACAGGGGGTGTTTCAAAAATAATGGTGGGGTTTCAAACGGCTGTAGGTCGTGAAGTATTATTGGCCATACAGCGCTCTGGTAGGAGGCTCGAATGAAAGACGGAGTTGTCGAGTTTCCATTGACTGCCACTAGATGTCTCTCAAGCCCTACCAGAGGCGCTGACGGTCCAATACTGCACGACCTACAGCCGTTTAAAACCCCGCCATTCTTTTTCAGACACCCTGTACATTATATGTTGCACGTGAAGTTCCACTTATCGACGACAGTATTGCTCTTACCTGTTGTTGATTTTCTTCGTCGTCATCGGGTTCGTCGCTGTTGTTGGCGAGCCTGGCTCTCTCGACACAGCACATTTTTACATAGTAAAACGGTTGGCTGACGCCCGTTTCGATCAGCGACAGACCGCCGTTGATTCCGGGCACAGATTTTTTCAAATAGCAGGTGGTCGCTTTTGATATATCCGTCTCGTTTCCGGTACTAAAAATACACAAACGTTTTCATATTAATAAAGTAAAAATTGTTTGGACTCCGCGTGGTTAAATGTGTGAAAAAGAAACGTTGATTTTCTGAAAAGTTGTTGTTTTAATCTTTGAAATTTAAAAGAAGCCAGTACAGTGGGGTCGGGGCATAGTGGGCACGGAGAGGTCGCGGGTCTACAGATTTTATTATAACCGAAAGTGATAAAACCATTTTTAAATAAACGCTTCGATGCGAATCTGTGGATGGTATGCGCAAACCAGTAATAGTTCCATTCTATCGTGGGACCAGCAATAATGTACTTAAAATTTAATATTTAGTCTTGTGCAGGGTGGATACGATAAGGGTTGATCGTCCGTCTATAAAAATGTACCGTCATAGTTACACCCGTATATCGCAATTAACGATATAATGATAATGTTTTCATTACCTGTCGACTGTCGATTCACTCACACATAGCAACCTAGAAACTGACTACGGCCAAAGTGTAAATTTACCCTATTTTTGGGGTTTTCCTTAATAAAAAAAAATTTGACTACAGATTTTTGAGAAAATTGTATATGTTAAAATGGAACATTTTAGATCTACCTTCGGTCTAATTTTCAGATCTAAATGTCAAAAACCTTGCTTGAAAAAGTGAAATAAACAAAAAAAAATCTATCTCTTCTAAGGCAAAGGGTTTATGATAATTTTTTGGTTTGTTAATGTTTATCGATAGTACTATGTTTGAAGAACAATTCATAAAAATTTGCAACATTTTCTACTATTTGTGAAAAAGTTATAGAGCATCGTAATTTTAAGTAGAAAATGTATACATTTTTTGGGTGTTTTTCTCGATTTTCATGGGGAAGGGATGACTTTTTTAAATTTTTAGCCTAATAAAGTACCTTCCAGGTATGATTTCTGATCTATAGAGTTACTACACGAAGAAATCGGTTCAGCGGTTTACGAGATATCGTGGGTCCAGACACAAAAATAAAAAAAAAATAAAAAAATAAACACATCATTGTAAAAACAATACCTTTTCGGGTCCGCATCGAAACTAAAAAGACAGTATTATCATTCCAAATAGAATACAATATTGATATAATTGTGTTTTTCAGATATCTTCAGACGTACCCAGATGCCGGTCACCGGGCGACAATTGTACGAGTACCTGTTGGCCAACAGTAACGCCGGAGAAGGCTCGGACGGCATGTCTGTTATTAAGATATCGGGATACGTCATGGGCGAAGGAGACAACGGTAAATCTCTGTTCGACGACGATGGCGACAACGACAGCAGCGTCGCCGATGATAACGTTCACAATAGATCATCGGACAACGGTCTTCCGACGGGTGTAGATTTAACGGTGAGCTATATTCAATTATTTTGGAATATATGAACGTAATAAATGTATTTAAACAAATTTGTTCACTTCAATTTACCGTGTGTTAAAAAAAAAAAAACAACAACATTTTATCTAATAACTATTAACAATGTATTTAAATAATTTTTACCTTCGGTGAGACGCTAAGAGGTTATTGGAACAATGTGTTTTTATTTTTTTTTATAACTTGCTTGGAGCAGTTTTTACTAGAAGGTGTTTTTGTTAAACTGTTGACCTTTTTAAATGTTTTTTTTTTTTTTGTCCAGGACTATGTGCTAGTACACCGTATGAGCAACGACATGCTGCATTTGAAGAAATGTCCGAGCTCCGAATTCGATAGTCATCTGGGCGGATCTGAATCGGATCTCCACGAATCTCGATCGGACTGCGGTTTCGAAAATTGCAATCTGTACGACGCCACACTTGTGTTGTCGTTGTCGTCGAAGCATTGTTCGGGTTTGGACGGCAGTAGAGACGTGCCGCCGACGGACGGCAGCAACGAAATAGCGTTGTCCTATTACGTTCTGTTGACCGTCGACGAGAACGTCGATTTGGAAAACAGGTAATTGGTCATTTTTGATCTGTAACATGTCATGTATTAAAGAAACACTTGTGCCGACTGCGGCAGCTAGATGGCGCTAGCTGTACTAATTTTTCCAATTTTCAGTAAACAAGAGAAAAATATTTTATATTAAATAATTTCTCTCTAAATCGTTTCTAGGAACGCAACTCATATGGACAGGACTGGTCATCAGAGACACAGCACGCCCATTCAAAAACTGCACGACCAACTGAGCAACGTGACCGTGTCGACGAGCGTTCCTTGCGGCAGTTACAGTTACACGATGGCGTCGGATTCGGCAACGTGTTGGGGCGGCAGTTTGGACGAAATCAATTCGAACGTGTGGTGTCCGACGCCTCCCAACACGCGACAACGGTGGAGCAGCCCAAATCAAAACGACCATCTGTACAACCATCACAAGTACAAAGTGCTCAAGGATCACCTGACCTGTTGTTACGGACAAAGAGCCGCGGAGTTGGTAGCGCAAACCGTCGATACGGCGGCGAGTCGTTGCCGAGTGCACATGCTGTGGCGCACGTTTAGCTTGCAGTCCGACCAACAAGTAAAATATACTTCTTCTTCAATTAATTGGCCTTCACGCCTGCCCTGAGAGGTTTTGCCGTCGATACCACGTCACCGATGCGGTCTATTCCTGTCTTGAACCGTATCGACTGTCCGTTCGTCCACTCGCAGCATTTTATTTCATTTTATTTTGATACATTGAAGTGCAACCTAAACTATTATCTAGCTGTACCTACGTCATATAATATACTACATTCATACATTCACTATTTTATAGTGTAACATACTTGGAAATTTCCAGTTCCGTAAAAACGTAGCACAGCTAGGAGTTGTTTTGTGGCCGTTACGTTTCTCTGATTTTGTTACAGCGAGGAGAACGGTTGGGGATCGAATAGGGAGGCGGCAAATTTTGTTTAAAATTACACCACCTAAATGTGTATAATAACTTTGTCGTTAATAATATCCAATAACGATATTAATATAATATTTTATATTTTTTAGAAATCCGGATTGTCCGTGTTGTCGTTCGACGAGCTGGAAGAACTGGTTACGAAGGCCGGACTCATCGAGCCGTTGGCCGTGTACGATCCGAGAATCGGACCGTTACTCGAACAGCTGTCGGTCGGACCCCAGTGGTTCGGCTCGTTGCACAAACTGCTCGTGTCCACATCGCAGTCGCCCAGGCTGACGACCAGGTGTCGCCTGTACAGCAGTTACAACGCCGAACACCAATATCTGGTAGTGTTGCCGGCCGCGGCCACCGACAACGTGGACCAGGTGGACGTGTTCGTGTTGATCAGCAACAAGAGCGTCCGCAGATCGGGTCAGCCGATAAACATCGTCTACAGGAAAGCGTGCAACAACTCGACGAGCAGCCTGGAGAACATCGTCGAAGCCGTCGGACGGGCCGTATGTTATTTCGTATGGCGAGCCGCCATGTCGGCAACGGCCAACGTAACGCCCAGCGTTCCGTCCAATTCATCGCAACAATAGAACAGCGGACGGACTCGCAACGTGTCCGGCCCGTAAAACCGTTTTTTTATAATATTACTAAGGATGTAATATTAGTATGTTATTTTTGTTATTGTTACCTGTTATTGTTCGTGCCATGTTTCGTTTTTAATTAATTTTATAATACATAACAAAATATTGTGTCTAGTCAAGAGTAGAAAAAAAATAATAAAGCGTTCGGACCGTTTTTTTTTTTTTTTTAACGTAGATAACGGCCATTAACTGATTTTTTACACCGGCTGTTGATTTGCTCCAAAGTTACACTTTTTTTTTTTTACACATAACCGACTGTCCGTATGATTTTTTTGATATATAAATTTGATATTTAAAATGGTGTACACTAATCCGTTCAAAACAATATAATATTAAACACAATAATTCGATTAAAGGTGTCTCGTTTGTCGTTAACGAAAAATTGGCAATAAAATGTTTTTTCCAAGCCTTTTTCGGTTGCTCGTTGCGTTTCAACATAATTGAAAATCTATATAGAATGATTTTTTTTTTTTTTAGGGATTTATCTATTTCCCTCGTATGTATATTATTTTGTAAATTTACTATCGTAAGTCTGATATTATGTAATAATAATAATAATAATAATAATATTAACAATGCAGTCATTTGATTTGTCTATGAGTGAGACTTATAGTACAATAATGATATTATTATAAGACAACTGTTCTTTCGTTCCATTATTAATATACTTTCATTGCATTGCTTATTTTGTTACCAATAATATTATTTAAACATTTATAACGTTTAAGAAACCGCCTATATATTTTGTTTTATATTTTCCAAGTATATATTATAGTAAACAATTGTTATACCATTATAATATATATATATATATATATATTATATATTGCATAATTATTTTATGAAGTTTTTCGGAGTGTGTTTTCGTGTGTTGTTTGAAGGACTATAAATTTCTGTTTGTTGTTATACCGTTGTTTTTTTTTTTTACTATTTGTTTTAATCCTCGATTGTATTTTTTATTAATGTTTACAGACAGTACAAATATTATTGCATTTTTTTTTTTATGTAATTCAAACGATACAATTGAAATTTTATACAGGTTTTTTCATACACAATATGTGCCAAACCGTGCAATTTTATTTTGTTGTTTAAATGTTTTATTATTATTAGATTTTTTTTTTTATATACAATGTGCCATATAATTTTATGTTAATATTATGATGTAGTTTAAACGAAGAATTAATACGTTTTTATATTATAATTATTATTATTATAATCTTCCTTACAATGTGTACCAAAAGGATTTTGCGGGTTAACGTTGCGACTGAAATAAAATATGATATTGTATTATAAAAATATTGTAATTTGCCATGCCAAACGTGTTTGAATTTTAAATAAAATTTAAAAAAAAAAGAGATATTAAATTGTTAAAAATTATTATCATTTCAATAGTACAAAATATGTTAATATTTAGCCGTGTCGCTGTATTGACAAATATCCAATTATGTCTACCGTGACTTAAAAAAAAAATGATTTATTACTAGAGACTGAACAATATTAACCCTTAAAGAAGGGTTATTATTTTTTTTTAAATTTGATTTAGAAAGTATTTTTACAGTATTAGCAGGTATGCCAAGTACACATCGCATTATTAATAGATTTAACATACGTTAAATTGGTAAATTATTATCCAAACTAAAAAATTAATTCAAACACTAACATTATTCCCATTATTACGAAAATTTTAAATTTTATTTAGAATACATTATTATCATTACGTTTGGATTTACAAATATCAAAAATTTACCATAAAATCAAAGAGTGATAAAACTTGATATTTAATTAATTAGTAAGTAAGTAGTATAGTTTAGTAAATTTACAAAGTAGTCAATTTAATGCGTTTCTCGGGTTGAAAAAAATTGTATGTAAAACGACATTTGTTATATTGAATAAATTTAACTCGAACGGATTAGATGGTTACGTTTTTAATTTTACTTTAAAATTACAATTTCGAAACAATTTGAGTTGTAAGTCTTTAAACTATTCCCAAAAAAACATTACATTGAATAAGTACAATTATTATTATTACATAATGTTGGAATATTACAAAATTACATTAATAAATTCTTACAATCGTCAAGTACATTAATTGCCTAGTATTTAAATAGCAATGTGGTCAAACGAGGAGGATATCGTTAGTATTTACTCCTTAAAATGCGCTGTGCTGGCCACACAACATACAGCGTTAAATGTCAAAGCGGTATCACAGCAGCTATATTATAAGATCTCCACCTCTTGGTGGTATTTCGGTATATTTTTTAACATATTTATTATATCATGAACATATCGACCAGGTGTTTTCCACATAAAATAACAATTCAATAAAAATCAAATCTGTTTTGTTTACAACCAAACTTAAAAGAATCGATCACGTTGTATTTTGTTATGTAGGTATTGGTTTTACAATGATGTGCTTTGTTTAATTTGTTTGTTCTGTATCTGGTTCCACGATAAACTACCTAAATTTATAACTTCAAAGTAGCGTTTTGCACCAATGTAAAATAAAATAAAAATATGAAAAGGGATTTCACAGCTAAATACTACACCATTTGTTGTATTTCCTTTTAAATAAATCCAATACTAATATATACATTTTCAAAACATATTTTTTCTAATGGCTAATATGCACACTACTTGTAAGTAGTACACGCGTTTTAACATGTTTTTGTTTTTTGTTTTTGTTCTTTGTTCTTGTACGTGTTTTTAACAAAACACACATACCAAAAAAACACCTTTACACGCGTAGGCTATTGTAAATATTGCCATATTATTTATATATACATGATTACCATTGCTTACCAATTTTGTGCATTTTCTTGTGGTACATAAAAAATCACTCCTTCACCCTTTAAAATAGGGGGGGGGGGAATGGCAACGGTTGGATTAAGTGGACATTTGTATGGAAAATGTAGTAGAAACGATGCCCCGCCCCTCTTCTTTTTATGGCAGAAAACAGTTTGTTGAAATATAAAACATTGTTTTCCTCGGATTTGATGAGAGTAATTTTTGGCTTAAGCTCGGAAACACAATTTAAGTTGTAATACGCATAAATAAGCAGACAAATATTGTGCGCTTGTATGAAAACAACATGTTTTCCTGTAAAACTAAAACAATATACGCGCGTGGCCTGTAAACGACGTCGAGGTGGAATGTGTGTATGAAAAACAAGTGCCATCTTTCCACGAAAGGAAACACATTGAAACATTGTTGTGAACGATTCAAAGCCACACGAATCGTTTTAAACGTATATATATATTATTTATTAGTATTTTTAAACATTATTTTCTGTTTTTTTAATTATATTTTAACACGAGCTGATGATTTTTTAACATTTTCTAAAAAAAGACATTGGCACAGACATCGTGCCATATATTTTTTTATCGTTTTTAGACTAGTCCGAGTCGTCCGAATAGTAAGATGGGTTATCAAAGGTGCCCCAGAATGCATACATGTCTGGTGTCTGTACCACTGCGTGGGTTTTCTTGTTTGCAGCGAAGGTGGCCAGATCGTCCGGGCCAGACTGGGCGCAATGGTTTTTCAACAGTTCACCGTACACATGTACATCTATGGCGACTAAAACCAATACAGATATTTCCAATTTAAAATATACAGGCACATTATAGGGTCTCGTGGGGGGGGGGGGGTTTTGAGCTTACACATATCACTTTTACATGCCGGATGGGTGTCCAAGTAAGCGTTCACGATTTGCCGATCTTTTGCGGATTTTCCCATGTACATCCAAAATTGCATTACTGAAATGGTCTCGGATTTGGTGTACGGTTCGCCCAACCATTGTCTAACATCGTCGAAAGAATTTTTTATAACCTGAAAACATTGTCCGTAGACAACTCAAACGTTTTTTCAATCATTGGACGGATTTTTAAATCATAAATAATTTGAAGAATTATCGCTGTGATATTATATTTTCCCTCTTCGGTATCGTTACCAAACTTATAACGATGACTCGTAACTCGTTATTACCATTAAAAAATAACAAAATAATTGTATCGTTGTTTTATTGATTATTGCTCTGTAACACCAATCTACACGAATTGATTTTAAAGGTATCGATGAAAATTTAATGATAAATTAAAAAAAAAAAAAACGCTTTGGCAGATTAATGATTATGGTTATGTTTGGATTTACGAATAACAATGATTAATTATTAACTCGAAGAATGATAGAAATTTACTATTTAGTAATTTACAAAGTAGTCGAACTAGTACATTTTTGGGCAAAAAAAAAAAGGAAAACTTTTAATGTATCGAAATAATTATTAAACTGAAATGATGAGGTTACGATTCTTACATCGTTCTAATATATTTATAACAATATCAAATAATTGTCGTAAAAAAATAGTATAAATTACCTTTTTTTCATTTTCTAGTCTGGCAGCTGTTGTCTCTTCGGGTTGGTCCGGTTTAGCACAACTACTTGTTTTGGGCTAGAAAAAAAAGCGTTCAAGTAAAACTTTACAATATAAATTATTTAGCATTGATATTGTCAGAAACCTAATAGTTTTAAAATAATTGTATAAATTACTTCAGGTTCAGTTTTCTTTTCGGGTTGGTCTGGATTAGTAGAGCTACATTGGTTGGGCTAAAAAAAGTTTTGAGGGAAACATTATTTATATAATTATATACAATGAATGTGCCTCAAAAGATAAGGTTAAGATTGTAACTTAAATCTACTAGAACAATATTAACAATAATAAATAGGTACTTATTTTTATTATAAATATTTATGGCAAGATTATATAGGAAAACTTTAACTTTTATATTATAAACGATTCAGCATAATGTAAACCTAATAGTTTTGAAATACCTAATTGTATAAATTACCTCAGCTTCAGTTGATATCTGGTCAGGTGCACCTGGAACTGCAGCTTCATTTTGGTCAGTTGTATTACAGCTAGCAGCTACGATAGTAAAAACTAACAAAGTAAAGAACTTTAAAGACATTGTATTTTTCTGAAGTTAAACTCTGAGCTAAAACGAATGACTTTTAACGTCTCTGAACGCCTGTTTTATATAGCATTGGAATTTGTACGCATATTTGAACAAGTATAACACAAACAAGAATACATTTTTTTTGTGTATAAACCATAAAAACATATTATAACAAATTTTACAGAAAATAGGTCAAAATTTGCGTCGGCACTATATTTATTTAATAAACTTCCATGCCGTCAAATTTGGAGACTATGGATATCTGAGCTACATTAAGTATTCTAAATGGGTAGAAAAAATATCATTTATCTACTTCAGCGTCTAGCAGTATACTTTTTTGTCCTTAAAATAGGGAAAATCCTGCTTAAAACATATTCCTGAATAATTATTCCTTATTTGCCCTTTTATTTTTTAGACTTTGGAGCACATTTTTCAATTCCATAAATGTCTAGGCAAAATGCTTGTACAATGCTGTACCGAGCATAGTATAAAACACTTTACTATTACTTTGTAAAGGTTTAAATTTATGATCATTATATATCTAAGACCTAAGAACCAATCTAGTTAAACCGATGACACTTTATATAATTTTTACAGTGAAAACAAATTGTAAGCTTGCTAAATGAATGTGTAAATGTAATGTAGAATAGGTAAAAATTAAAAAAAACATGGTGTCACTTGAAGATTATTTTTGATAGTAATTTAACATTCAGTTATAATATTTTTGGAAAACGTGTGATCTCCCCCAACCTGATATGCTTTGACCTCACTATGCTGGTATTTTAAAAGAAAAAAAAAACATTATTTTGTACATTTATTTTGATAATAATGTGCTGACGGCTGACGAGAATAAATTGGGTAACTTTTAACTTAAGCCAATTTGTTTTAAAAAGAGTGGAATTACATAATTAAATTCTTTTTTCCCTAAAGTGGCGGAAAAATAATTTTCAGGGACAACAAATTCTGCGAAATCATAAAAACACGAGGCATAATGTTATTTCAACATATTATTGTATTATATTATGGAATAAAATATCAATTTTTTTAGTGATATAGTTTCGTATTCGAACCACTTGTACAAAGAAAAACAATTACTACAACAACAACAGCAGAAAACGCAAAAACCATTTCAATATGAATAGATTTTCAATTTAAACCTAAACATCTGAAAAATATCTGTTTATACTTAAATACCGGCGGTGATATTCAATTTTGATAATAAACACCCAAACCCAAAACTAATAAAATTGCAAATAGTAAATAGGTATATTGTAAAAAAAACAACCAAAATGTTACCAATAAAATAGGTATTGAAAAAACTCTTAACGGTTTTTGAAAATCTTGTTATTGAAATACGGTCATAGCAGATGTTATTATTTTAGCGTTTACTTTTGGTCTTTAAACATATTTTAATGTAAAGTATTCAGTTTTTTTTTGTTTGTTTTGATACATAGGCTGTGCAAAAAATTGTTTACTGGTTCTGAAAAACTTGTCGTTACTGCAATAGGGTCACAATAGATGTTATTTTACTACCTATTTATTTTCAAAAAAATACTCATTTTAGTTATACAGTTTTGTACTGTATATAAAAAAAGCGAAATAAAGACTTCCTTCTAACAGTTATGATAAATGTTAGTAATCATAATTTTCAGTCTTCAGATAACAAAACAATTACTACTGCCAAAATTCGAAACGCGCCCAAAAAAAAAAAAAAAATATAAATACAACATTGACAATGTAAAATGATAAAAAATTGTAAATACAAGATGTAAAATAATCTTTTGGCACATAACTGGTATTTCACCTAGATCAAAATATAATTGGCGTAGGCAGGATTTTGTTTGAGGGGGTTGGCTAATCTTCGATTTTTGCACTTTAATTATTATTGTATCCATACTATACATGTAAGTGTGAAAATTGAATCTTCATAACGGGTTGGCTCATTCTTATCAACTCATAGAGCATAGTACGGAACAGGTTTTAAGAAACTTATGACCTCCCCCACTTGTGACACCACTCCTCTGTACTGGATATTAAAATATATTTTGAATGTTAAGACAGGAGACATCTATTCCATTTTTGAAAAAATTATAATATTTTCCTATATGTAAAACTTCATTTAAAAAAAAAAAAATATTACTTTATTTATTTTTCCTAATTTAAGCATACTTATGTATGAATTCAATGTTAATTATTATTAATATTATTATATTTTATTGCGAGTCTTAAAAGCAGTTCTTTGTTTTTTTTTTTATGTGTAGTACAGTACATTAAAATAACGTCTGCTGTTAGCCTATTACAGTAACAAATTCTTCAGAAACCGTGAACAGTTTTTTTAAACATCTGTGACCTATAATACATCAGCATTATCATCATGTAGCAATGTTAAGGCAATGGAGCTCCGACAAATTCGCCATGGTCTATATTCTAATTTAAACATATTTATTTACAAATATATTGAAAATTATGATTACCTAATATTTATCATAACTGTCAGATGGAATTTCGCTTTTTAATGCACAGTACAGGGCTAAAGTTTGAAAATAAATACTAAAATAACATCTGCTGTGACCCTATTACAGTAACATCGAGTTAAGAAAATATTATAATTAATATTGACAAAAAAAAATGTATGTTCGTTTGTTTTTGACCACACCACTATCCCGTATAGTACATTTAGTAGATTATAAAATTTCAAAACATTTAACAATATTCCGCTTTTTTAAACTATTTGAATACTATTCTACACAAAACGAAACAATAACTACTAATAGGTAATTAATATTATTATTACTAGTCAATGTAATTTGATTTATTAAAATATAATAACTTATAATATTATTTTTGTTCAAAAATGCCCACTTTTGTGAAAAATATAAAACAGTTAAATACTTGTTTAATAAAGTATTGCTATTAGCTGATATGATATGATTTTTACAATAATATAATAAAGGTTTGCGTTGAATTATCATCCTCTCCGGTCCACTACCTCAATGTCTTAACTTCCATTACTATTCACATACTAGTCATAACTCCAAACTATAATTTTTAATATAAATTATCTTATTATTTTTTACATGTCACTACACACGACGCGTTCAATATAAAGATAAAACCAAGTTTTACACAATAATAATTCAAAGACAAGAATGATTAAAACGACACTAAGTGTCAATTAGATAGCTGCGTATTACAATTAATTACTGAGGTCCCAAGCTTACTCACTAGCTTACTTTTATATTAAACTAAACGATTACCAACACATGGTTGTGGGTATGTCATCCACACATACCCCCCCCCCCCCATTGAAGTCTAATTTTAAAAAGGCATACCCTAAAGTTATTATTGGCTCATATCCCTTTGATTATGCTAACCCTGTCTTGATAGACCAAAATATTTTTATCCAATGGTTATGGCACCTTCATTCTCATTGTCATTTTGATTACGCCAATTATTTCTATTATTGCTATAGCCTGATTTTTGTTTTCTTTCATTGGCAAGTTTTTTAAAGCATTTTTCGTTTCATGATACCCCTTCTAACAGTATTCACCAATCCGTATTGTATTTGTAGATTTTTGTGGTCCGTTAGCATTTGGACTCCTAAAGTTTGGATTTCTAAAGTTTGGGTTGTAATTACTGGAATGACCTCTACATTGTGCTCTAATATGACCGGTTTTGCCACATCCATAACAGCGTTTAATATTTTTATCGTTATAATTTTGGTTGGGTTGTTTAAATGTATTTCCATTTCTGTTAAGATTATTTTGAACATATCTATCATTAAATGATTTTTCTTGTTCAGAAGCCAGAGAAATTCCCACCTCAAATGCTGTAATGTTTCTTGCCCTTAGTATTACGCCTAGTGAATCATGAAGCCGATTTATTAAAATAGCAAGTGCTTGTTTAGCTACAGTTTCTGCAATAATTTTGCTTTCTGTATTCGTTTTACCCATATTTAATGTCCCAGTTAATTTTATTTTGAATATTTAATATACGATTCCCAAAACTAAATACTTCTTCTTTTGACATTTGTTTTAGATAACTTAATTGCATTTGTAGACTGCGAATAGAACTTATATTACCGAAAATATTTTTAATTGACTCCAATATTTGTCAAATTCGATAAAACGTATAGCATCATACGCTTTTTCTGACAAGGCAGCCATAAGCGCCTTTAAAATAATAGGTTGCAGATTTTCTTCAATATTTGACCAGACAAAATC